TTGAAACTCATTTGAATTTATGTTAGAGAGGCTTTTTCTCCATCACATGGCATATACAACAGGCATGCCATTCATTCTTTTTCTATATCTAACACAATTTTTCGTTTTTTCAGTTTTATATTAGATCTCCAAATCACAGAATTTCTATTCTTTTGTTTAAAAATACAGTTCAGTTTTTCTAAATGTGAAACATTGTACCTAGGGGCTGGAGTAAAACAATAAACAAAACAGACATGTGATTTGCCTGCATAAAGCTTAAAGTGTATGAGGAGTGATGACTATAATGAATTTGAAATGCAAGGACTGATAATGTTTCCACAGATGAGAGGCAAAACTGGTATGGGTATATGTGGTAAAGTCTCCAGAGATACCCACATCCTAATTCCTAGAAATGTAAATATATTACCTTCCATGGCAAAAGGGAATCTGAACGGGATGATTATCCTGCATAATCTGTGTGGGCACATATGAGTTTTAAAAAGAAGAAAATCTTTCCTAGGTGTGGTCGGGGAAATAGATGAGAGGATGGATGCAGGAGGATAGAAATAACCACATTGTTGACTATGAATATAGAGGAAGAGGCCATGAGTCAGGGAATGGCGGGGGCTTCTAGAAGCCAGGAAAAATCATGGAAATGCATTCTTCCCTAGAGACTTCAGCAAATAATGTAGCCCTCCAACACTGAATTTTAATTCAGTGAGGTCCATACCAGACTTTTGACCTGCAGCATTACAGAAACAAAATTTGTGTGGTTTAGGACACTAAATTTGTAACAATTTATTACAGTAGCAGTAGAAAGCTAACAAACATTTAATACAACTAGCATCATTTGTGACACAAACTTGATATAAAAATAAAACTAGGGATGAGTTCTGATAATAAGCCCCATGGTTTTCCAGATTAGTTCCTGTTGCTTAAGTGTGGTTCAATCACATTTTTTTTCCCAATCACATTTGATCAGCTATAAGCATTAGGCCTAAACTTCTGCCCTTTCATATGAAAAGAGTTTACTATACTTTTTTGGAGTTTTTCACAATATTACACATTCACAAACTTTATTTTTAATAGCTAATACTTATCAATAAAATGTTAATATAATATATGCATAATGGGTTTCTGATCATGTGAACCACCACTGTATAAATTTAGCTACTTCTACCCAGAACTCTATAAAAACACCAGGGCAGATCACGTACATAGATAAAAGTTTTTCATTTCCTGAAAAAATATATATACATTCCACAAAAGTATTAACATTATGCCCAAGGAGAGGAATGGAATATATAAATCTACTTAGATCACTCAAAGAACAAGTTCCTTTGCCTCTGTAGTCTTCCTTCCCTCTGTTCATGTTCACAGGATTAACCATTCTCTTCTCTCCAGAGTGATCACGTAAATACAATGAATAAATAAGAACTAAGCTCTTCAGGCACATTGCAGTTTTAATTTTAAAAACTAAGAGGAAACAAATATTGTTAAATTTGACTGCATTTAAATAATAATTACTGAGTACCTGCTACCTGAGAGTTTATGTGGTAAGAGCCAAGGACGTATTCCCACTGTCCTAGAGCTGCTCTCTAGTGAGGAGGGCAGACAAGCGTGAGAAGTGCAGTGGGAATGAGAGCTCTGAAACTGAAAGGGCCTTGAGGGAGTCCTGTATCAGAGCGTGTATGTTTTGCTTTCCAGGAGATAGAAAACAGTGAAAGCAGAGAATGGAAGAAGCATGTGAAAGCCTTTGTCCAACATGAACAGCACTACAGTTCAACCATTTAAATACCAGAAAAATTTGAATTCTTTCCATTTAGATTATCTTAAAACAATAAAATTCAATATAATTATCTGAGCAAGCTAAAAAACACTACTTTCATCTTTTGGTTATTTAGATGTTATATAAAAGTCTCTTCATTTCACTCTCCTAACATAGAATTCACCTTGTTTTAAAACCAAAATACCTTAATAGAAGATATTAACAACATAAATAAGTTTTTATAATTGACAATAGATCTTGAAACTGATCAACAGAGTAAATCCTTACAACAGAGCAGCAGGGAACAGAAAAATTCAGATATTTTCATTGGCTTATTTAGCATATTTGATACCTGGAGTGATTATGTCTTAAACATTCAGCTTATCTTTATGATAATCATTAAAACCATTATTTTCTTAATATGTTCTTTTACATTAAAAATTAAATTTAAAATTAATAAACTTCAAAAGGATCTAATTGTAAAGATAAAATTTAAAGAAATACTTCATCAATGAACTAAATTTGCACTTACCTGGCAAAAATACTGTCCCCTGCAGTTCACACTATTCCACTGTTATTATTTTTAAACTTAAAGAAAAACTCCAAGGGAACACATAAAATAATTTAAGTGTCTGGGTTTTTGGTTCTCTGCCTTCTGCCTTTACAATCACAGTGTTATCTTTGTTTAGTTTAAATATATCCATAAGGAACACAATGGTTATTAAATGATACTCTTAAAATATACTAAATTATATGCACTAACAAAACTGAACAAAACCACAACAACACAACATTTCCATAACTTGGAAAAGCAAAAACAATTGTGAAAAGCACAAGTTTTTTACTAATGTCTGGAAGTCCTGGTTATGAAAATAGTAAAAAGAAGATTAATATTTATTATTACTTATAAATGAATACAGAAAATGTCCCTACTTAATGACTACATCCAGGGCAAAATGTTCTCTTCACCTTTGCTGAGCATAGTTTTAAACTCAAAGTGAGAAAACTCCATGAAACTACCACCTATTTCTAGTTGATATATATTTATTATATACAAGATCAGCTTCAGTTTCCTGCTACTGCACACAGGCCTCTACACTCAGAAATGGGTCCTGTGCTTGGGTTTGAATGCTCTTCTATCATCTTGAAATTCTTAACAATTTTATCTTAAAATTTGCATATTCCAATGACCGGGGTTGAAGCATATGTCAAGGCTCAAATACAGTCCTGCTTCTTGGTGACTTCCTAAGACAACAAGTTTTATGCCAACTGTTCTCCCACCCAGCAATCATTGTCTCCCTGCTTGTGGGGCCTTGGTACACCTATTAAGTCAGGGTCATGAGGCAGGTGCCTGGACCTCCACCAGGGTCCGCACTTGCCCCCTTGGATCCCTATGCCCCAAGAAATCTAACACCAAATAGAAAACAGACATAACCTTTCATAGGTAAAGAAAAATTATGGAAGAAAATAAATCTTTGGCAAATCTACCCCTGCCATGATTTTTAAACAGTAGCTTCACTTTTCCATTTTGCACTAGGCCCACGAATTATGTAGCCACTCCTACTTACTTATGTGGGTGAGTGTACACAAGTATATAAGTTTATCTGTACTTATAAAGAATAAAATAGCTATATTTAAAGTTCATTTATCTAATCTTAATAATATATAGATAAATGTATAAATAACTATATATTTTATCTATAAGCCTAAGAATACAATACAGTTTTGTTTAATATGTTTAACAGTTTCTTGTGACTGATGAATTACTTTGAAAAATCTTCAATATATGCAAAAAATAGAGACATTCTAGTAGGACATGACATTACTAATATATTATTAACAAAATCTGCTTTACTACTTTGATTTCTTAACATGCAAGAGATTTTTTTTAATCAAGAGCCAAGACATCAAATATTAAGAGTATGGAGATCCACCAAATATGTTGAAGGATCCCAAACACTCACCAACAAATTTTAGCACATTTCAATTATGCACATAAAATATTTACACTGTACAATCCCAAAACTTAAATCCCATATCCAAAAAGTAATGAGCTTTACAACTAACAATTCTCTAAAGACATATTCATAAATCTTAAACTATTCCATTAATAATAAGGCAGATAAAAGTATTTTGATTATAACTTTCATTTTATTTAGCTCTATTATTTAAGAAGACTTCCTGATGAGTAGACAGTTGACAACATCTTCAAGAATTTCTTTTTCATTTTATAAATAGCACTAAGATTTGAGGGAACTAAGATTTTACAGACCCTTCATAGACACACACACACACACTTAATGGAAAAAAGAAAACCTTGAAGCAAACATTTTACCCTTAATTTAAACAACACTTTGAACATTTCTGAACAACAGCTAATTATGTAAAAATATCAATTCCACCATATCACATTTAAAAAGGCTGTCCAAACTGCGCAGGCTCTTTACATCTACAAATACAGCTCAAGATCTCTGCAGCACTGACTTTTACTAAATTCTATCTAAATTCTAACTTTTGGTGCCCTTTCATTATTCACCAACTTAATCCTGAGCAATCTGCCCCTCTGTTTATTTTCTTTTTAGTCCTTAAATTTATGTACAACCCTACAACCCTAGTTTCCTTTCTCCACCCATAACTCCCTTCCTCAACCGATATTTAGATACTTCTGCAAACAAAACAATCCTTTGTCGATACTCTTTTTTTTTTGTTTGTTTTGTTTTGTTTTGACAGGCAGAGTTAGACAGTGAGAGAGAGAGACAGAGAGAAAAGTCTTCCTTTGGTTCACACCTCAGATGGCTGCCACGGCCAGCACGCTGCACCTATCCGAAGCCAGGAGCCAGGTGCTTCCTCCTGGACTCCCATGCGGGTGCAGGGCCCAAGCACTTGGGCCATCCTCCACTGCCTTCCCAGGCCACAGCAGAGAGCTGGCCTGGAGGAAGAGCAACCGGGACAGAACTGGCACCCCAACAGGGACTAGAACCCAGAGTACCGGCGCCACAGGCGGAGGATCAACCTAGTGAGCTACAGCACCAGCCGGTCGATACTCTTTTGGTTCTGATTTTGTCCCTAGAAACTCCCAGAATGGTTATATCCTTCAAATAATCAAGCAGAAGCCACTCAGAAAGTCAACCTGCTATAAAACCATGAACTCATTTGCAATTTATCTTATTGGAGGTGAAGAAAGCATCTCAGAACATGCCCACAGACAAGGCAGAAGGAGGGATGCGGATGGGAGGGCAAACCAATCACTTACATTGTTCATGTACTCCGAAAGTAGGTCCTGAAGAGCCTGGCGAATAGCGTTGCATTCTGCGATAATCCGCTCCCGGTGGAAGTCCCTTGTGCATGAAGAATCAGCCAACAGAGCAGCCCCACTGATAATGGCTTCAAGGCGTTTCTCCAGTGATGGTCTTATTTCCTCCTCAGTCACTGTGAGTGGATTCAGGACAATTAAGTTCTAAAAGGAGAACACATTTGGTTGGTTAAAACTTCCCAGCATAACATTTTTATTTAAAAAAATATTACTCTGTTTTACTTTTGGAATTTAGATGTGAGAATAAAGAGAAATGTATTTTTACCACCTTGACCAGTTCACCAATAAATCTGTGTAGTGATTATTATTCAGATTAGTGATGAAATTATGAAGACCATTTTTAGCCTCAGACCTGGATTCAAATCTTGCCTTTCCCACTCACCAGTCACTACACTTGATCTTAGCCAAAACACCAAGAAGCAATTCCTACTCAGCAACGTTTCATGTTCTCTGAACTTTCCCTTCCTGATTTGTAACACTAGAATATTAATATTTCCTGTGTTATGAAACTATTATGAGAATTATATAAAGGCTTAATACAATGGCTATCATTCATAACATCATTTATAATCTCTATAGACTGCACTATTTCTACAATATCTTCAACAAATCATGTCTTTTTGTGTTCTAAAATATTTACTAATTTATTTGAAAGACAGAATTACAGAAATCAAGGGAGACAGAGAGAGATCTTCCATCTGCTGGTTCACTCCCCAAATGGCAGTAATTGGCCACTTGGCCAGGGAAATCCATCTGGGTCTCCCAATTGGGTATTAGGGGCCCAAATACTTGGGCCATGTTGTACTGTCTTCCCAGGCACATTGGCAGGGGGCTGAATCAGAAGCAGATCAGTGGAACTCAAACTCAAGCTCATATATTATGCCAGAGTTGCAGGCGTAAGCTTAATCCACTAAATCACAATGGCAGACCCTCACATATTCATACATCATCTCACCCTGTAAGCACTATAAGGAGGTGGCAGCAGAGGTATCACTAACCAGACATTTCAGCTGATGATAAGTGATATTCAAAGGCTATCTTACCAATAATCAGAGGGTGAGGAAATAATGTTTTTCAAACACATATCCAGATTTTGTATTATCTAGTTCAACATAGCCCTTATTATGCATCACTGCAAATCACAAACTCTAAATAACTTTAACAATAATATATCAAAGAAAGTTCTAAATTTTAATTAATCATTTCTAAAATAAAAACTCCATCTTCCTACCTATTGACCTACTACAACCTCTAGCTAATTCCAGCTTTTGGAATCTGGCAGTATTTTTAAGGTTACATAAAGATATGTCTTTAGGTATTAGAAGTAAAGACACCCTGTAGCCTTTGAAGCAAAGGGAGAAAGTAAGATGCACGGAGGGTACTTGACTGAAATATGTCAAGGAAGAAAGACTTTCCAAGGTAAAGTATAATATGATAACTGAAGAAAGAGATAGTATAAAACAAAATCTCTCTGAAGAACCTTTCACATAACATGAAAGCATATCCTCAGATGTGCGAGTACACACAGAGTAAAGTCATCAGTGAGGTATTTATACTGTGTAATCTTATGCATACGATTTTTATATGTGTATATTATACCTACAGAGAAGTATGCATTAGTGTATATAAAAATAAATACATACATATGCACATATGTGTATATGAGGGGACTTCAAAAAGTTTATGGAAAATATCATTGAAAAATAAAGCATTTCCAAGAACTTTTTGAAGTTCTCATACATATATGTATAAGATCTTATATTGACCATGACACTATGTTGCGATATGTTACTTACTTAGAGATCAGTGGTAGCTACCTACAATTTTAGAAATTATAATTATGAGGCCAATATAGGAAGAGAAAATCATTACAAAAAGAGAAATACTTTTAAAACAATTTGGATAAAATAAAAATTACAACTGAATAATATTCAGATATTACAAAATATGCTATAAAATATAAACTAGAACACATGTGAGAACATCAAACAATTCATGGAAAATAGAATTAAAGGCAAAGTTTATTTTTGGGCAAAAAGCTTTGAAATCCATTCAAGAAGTCTCTAAAAGTTCATGAAAACACAGGCATATATGAAAAAAATGCACAGATTTCACATTTTTGAGACAAAATAAGTTTATCTTGTTTTGTATTAGTTTGTTGAAGAGGCAGAGAGAAAGACACAGGCAGAGACAAACTGACATCCAGAGAAAGCTCCCATCTGATAGATCATTCCCCAAATGCCACAAAGGCTCTCTGGGCAAAGCCAAAGCCAGGAACCAGGAATGCAATCAAGGCCTCCCAGAACCCAACTACCGAGGCATCACTGCTGGCTCCCAGGGTCTGCATTAACAGGAAACTGTAGGTGGGTGTTGTAGTGAGGTAGTGAACCTAGGTACCCCAATGTGGGGATATGTGTATCTTAATCAGCATCTTAACCAGTGGGGTTAATGCCCATCCCAGACCTTTCTGTTGATTCCAATTTTTCCACAAACTTTTTGAAGCATTCTCATGGATCTGATAAAAACTTGGTTAAATATTTTACAAGTTTAAAAAAATTATTAATATAGAAAAAACAGATTTCATGTATTTCATAGATACAATTCTAAGAAAACAGCCATGCTTTCCTCCTTCCCTTACTCCCTCCCTCCCTCAATCCCCCATCCTTCCTTCCTTTTTTCTTCTTTTAATTTTCTCAACATGATAATTTCAATTTACTCTATAATCACAAGCTTAATGTACCACTAACCATAATGTTCAACAGGTGAAAAGTAGACCATTGTTCCACAGGAGTATAGACAAGGGTTAAAAACAAAAATCAAATCATAAAATATCAGTTTCATTCTTATTATTTTTTGTGTATTTAAATATGTGTAAAGCATTCAGGTTAGTTCTTCCTCCCGTGTTTCCTATATATTTTTCTCTTGTTTCTTTTATTTGTTTCATACTGAAAAGATACAGAATGGGAGAAAGTAGAGAGGAAGAGAGAGGAGAGACACAGAAAAAGAGACAGAGAGAGCGTGTGCTGGCTTATGCAAGTGCCCCCATCCACTGGTTCACTCCCCAGATGCTCATAATGGCCAGGCCCAGAAGCAGAAGCTAGGAATGCAATTCCAGTCTCCTACATGGGTGGCAGAATTCAAATATTTGATCCCTCACTTCTGCCTCCCAAATTCTGCATTCCCAGGAAGCTGTAGTCAGGAGCCAGGGCCAAGTATCAAATCCAAACACTCTGATTCAAGATGAGGGTATCTTAACCACTAGGCTAACTGCTCAACCTACATAATGTTTTTGATGAGACCATAAACCCAGCCATGGGCTTGGCTGTTACTCAAGGCTTCATTTATTTAAATTTATCTCCTTGTTTCATTTGTCACTTTTGCTGTGTCTTCCTTAGAGTCACCAATTTAGTATAAACTTATCACTCCAATATTTCATAACAAAAATTAAGCTAAATAAAACCTTTTTTAAAATGGCCCTCCAATATGGCATCATGATTAAAAGAGACTCTGAGGGGCTGGCGCTATGGCATAACAGGTAAAGCTGCAGAGTCCTGGCTGCTCCACTTCCAATCCAGCTCCCTGCTAATTTGCCTGGGAAGCAGCAGAAGATGGCCCAAGTACTTGGGCTCCTGCATCCACATGGAAGACCCAGAAGAAGTTCTTAGCTCCTGGCTTCTGGCTTCAGATCAGCCCCATTGCAGCTGTTGTGGCCATTTGGGGAGTGAACCAGCAGATGAAAGATCTTTCTGCATCTCCCTTTTTCTCCCTCTGTAACTCTGCCTCTCAAATAAAATAAATAAATAGGTTTTTTAAAAAGTAACTCTGAGGGTAACGCTATTATTCTTGAGTTTTTCAAATGCAATTGGAAGATAAAATAGGAACAACTGTGATGATAGGGAAGGTCTACAAAATTTCCATTTTTTTCACCGATAATTATTCCAAGAAAAATAATCATAATTTTAGCTGTTCTGGTTGTGATTCATATCAGCAAGCAACTTGTGCTTTAACAGGAAATTTAGTCAGGCTCCTCTCTAAAGTACATTCCTCAAGTGATCCCAGTCTGGGTTTTTACCTGCTTGACATTTAGAAGTTCTTATTCTTCAAGCCCATCTGAACTTAAAACCATTGCCTACTCTAACTCCTGATACCTACACACATGCATCTTGATTCTGCCTAAATTGCTGCCCTCTTTTTCACAATCTATAAAAATTTAGTAGCCTTGTCATCAGACCAATAAAAACAAGAAAATTTTTAAAGTCACTTTAACATTATACGAAATGGCACTAGATTTGCTGGAGAACAACTGGCATAAATGATCTCTTCTGCTGCATTATAGCTATATGTGAAAATACTCTTGCAGTTTGTTGGCAAGACACATGACAGAAAGCTACAGTTTCCCTTTTACTGCCACATATACACCTTCCTCCCTAACACTTTGCTGACAAAGCAATGCTTTTTTAAAAAGTAAGAATCCTAATTCCATATTCTTCTCTTAGATTGCTCCATATTAGGAGACAGTGTAGTTTAGGGATTAAAAGTCCACATTCTGGCAGCAGTTAGCCTAGGTTTAAACCCTGGATCACTATGAACAAAGTTACTGACACAGTTTTCATCCTCTCTATATTTTCACCTCCTTTAGACTATCTTATAATTTCTTTGGTTAATGAATTTGATACCTCATTGTTTTATATCAGTCCTTTTCAGAACTGAAGACTTTAAGCAGCTTGCCCAGGGATCACTCAGCTAGTAAGTAGGAAAGGCAAAATTCTATACCAAGTCTGGTTGCAGTTGTCCTGTAACTATTGTGCAGTGCTGCTTCCATTGTCTCAATCATTACCAACCACTTTGTGAGGCATTATATTATGAATTTATAAATGTGAAAATGGGGTGAGAAAGATTAATTTATCAAATCCTACTCTTAAAAATTTAGGCCACTATTCCAATTTTATATAACAACCAAATTTATAGTTTCTACTACTCTGGAGAAACTAAGATGAACATCTGGAAAATCTCTTTATTCACCTTTCCCTTGACATTCTTCATCCATTTCTTCCTACCTCTCTTCAAGGAAGAAATTCTTCCATGTTCATTCATATTCTCCTCCCTCCCCTTTATTCCCAAAGGTATATTTTCCTTTTAGGTTC